GATGTGAAACACAAGACTAAAATATTTTGACGTTCATTGAATGAAACAAATAATAAATAAAGCGAGTTTTCTGTTTTGCATATCATTAAATATACAGAATAAATTAGGTACTTGTATAAATGTATACTACAACCTTTCTGCAATCAAGTGTATATATATATATAATGTGAATTTTTAAAATCAGATATTAGCTTCAAAAGTCCGACCACCATATAAAATCGTCAAATTTTATCGATACTTTGAAACAACCTCTCAGGCTGATCAAAGTCAGAGCATGGTAAACTTACAGATCGAATTTAACTTGTTAGAGGATTTGCGGAGGAAGTTAAGAAAACAGGAGAACCGTCGGAAACCCAAAAGCCCCGGCTTCGYTCAAGGGAGAGACCTAAAAGAGTCTACTCACATGTGATGCCGAGTCTGGGAATCGAACCTGAGACCCCAGACGTAAGAGGCAAGTGTAAGACCGCTACACCACTTTTGATTATCGATCACTTAAATTAGAGTGGTGATCAGACATGCGGGAGGATTATATCTCCATTAATGCGACAGTGTAACGGATAACTAAGGACTTTTTAATTGCGGGGTGCTTTTCATATAAAAAGAACATTCTTGCTTAGAGTGGTATACTGCGCAAACAGGATGTTTTGGCGACGCGGTAAGTTCACTTTAATAGGCGCGCAAAACATTATCAGGAAAAATAAGACCGCAATAATCAAACTATTTATTCCTACGCGCTTAAAAGAAGGAGCTATCGATATCAAAGAAATGTTAAAAAGCCTTCTACGCTTGCCAAATTATCTTTACACCGAGTTTCTACTAGCTGAACGGAGAAGCAACGAAAGATTTTCGTGASAATAGCACATAGCAGAAGATCGCCTGGGGAACCGCTCCATATTTTTTAACCAAAAATAAACATACACTTGAGATAAGATACTTAACGTGACACTTCGGTGATAAGGACAGCTTGCTGTTACACATTTTATTGAAATACATTATTGAATAAAAGTGATTAACCAGTTTGAATATTTTTTCCAGAAGCTTTTTTTAATGAATGGAGAAAGGCCTGCCTTAACGTCCACTCTGGTTTTAATTCAAATTAGTAAAAAAAAAATCAATGCATTTTTTGTTTGTTTGTCTTTGACTGCTTGTTTCACACTGAAATGTGTACTTCAGTTTTTCAATTTGGAAAACTGGTGCAGTGACTATTAGATGGCTTCCGAGCTTTGTGATTGGATGGTGTCTGTTTTCTCGTTTATGATTGGTTCATGCACTGGCTGAGAGAAAGCCATCCAGCATGAGTCACTGCACATCTTCTATTTGAGATAAACCTGCTCTGTTGCAGTATATTCCTTTCCCCCCGCTAAATGTACACATAATATCAAAAACTAGAAGAAGATAATAATTTATATACTAAGGTCCATCACTACTAGACTCTCAATCACTACAATCTATTCTTCCTAAACATATTCTAAAATATCTAAACTAGAAAATTATTAATCATACAATGCGAGACAATCACTATTCATATACTTCTCTCAAGTCTGTCGTATATAACTTTTAGCAGTAAATTCGTCAATAGTTTGTTTTAAATTTATATTAGTAAGTAACAATGAGTGGTTTTGGTTTGTTTGTATATTTGTAAGTTCAAGGAGTCGTTGCCATGCAACAATCGATGGCATTCAAAATATTCGATGCCATTACTACCAATCTGTTATTTTATTTACTTGTGTACAGACCTTTTTCAAAATTATTTTGTATGTGAGGCCGCTATTAAACAGGAAAATACAAACGAAATGGCACAAATTCCATCAAGAAAAATAGGGTTTTCTTTTGTATTTTCCAGTTATCCCCACGTCCAAAATATTTTTTTTAAAAGTATCTATGGCAACGACTCCCTTTAAAGAAAACAACATGTCTTTCATCGCGTATTTTTCATTATAGTTTGAACATTCATGTTTGTTTTTCAAAATCCAAAAAAAATCCCAAAAAAAAAAAAAATCATAGAAGATAGCCACTGCAATAAGCATGGATATTAATTTGTGTCAATCAAGCACAAGCAGCAGAGCTGGAATGAAGCTGCGCAATACCGAAGAGCCATTTTTTTGTAAACATAGAGCAAATCAATAGATGAGATTTCGCAGTGCGCAAATAAGAAAACCCTTCACATTCGCATTCGAAAACAGGTCATAAATTATGCTACTTACAGCCACTTTCATGCTACTGTGATTTCCCCAACTGGGTTTAACTTCCGTCAATCAACCCTATATTGCATCTGGAGATGACTCATAGCTAAATGAAAGCACTGTAAAAAACGTGACCCCCGTACGTGAATTATCAAGAAATTGTTTACCAGTTTTATCGTACGGATGAGTGTCAGTTCTGTGCAACATGGAAAAGGTCTTCTTTGCGCATGCGTCTGATCTCGTTAACTTTTCTTTCAATGACTTTGAGATTTTCGATACTCCTGATAAACGTCATACTAGAAAATGTCATCAGATCATGAAGTACAAAGAAACATTGCTATGTTGACGGCTTAAATGTCATGAAACTATCAAAAGTCATTTGACATATAACTAGCTCCATATCTTACTTTGAAGTGGACTTGGTGTCCAAAACAGGTTTCTCTTCCAACGACAATGACTTGGCGTTGTCTTCCTTCTTAACGGAAGCCTGAGTAGACTTTGGCTTCTTTTCCACTGGTTTCTTTTTGCCAGAATCTTCTTGATCGAAGGATGACACCTTTGGCTTTGCCTGAGTAAATTCCTTTTCTCCAGAAACTTTTCGTTTTGAATCTCCTTCAGTTTTCTTAATTTCTTTCTTAGTTTCCTCTGGTTTCTTTTTGCCAGAATCTTCTTGATCGAGGGATGACACCTTTGGCTTTCCTTGAGTAAATTCCTTTTCTCCAGAAACCTTTCGTTTTGAATCTCCTTCAGTTTTCTTAATTTCTTTCTTTGTCTCCTCTGGTTTCTTTTCGCTTGAAACTTTCCTGACAGATTCCTTGTTGTCTGCTTTTTCTTGGTTCTCTTTAGGACTATCTGAGCCAAAGGTCTTGGAGATATCAGAAGCAAGACTACGTATCTCCTGAGCAGCACTCTCGGCTCTATCGTCGATATTCTCGTCAGTAAGTTTCTTCCTTTCTTCCATCATTTTCTTCAAGTCTTGATCTTTTTTCATTACAGTTGTAGGCATCACATAGTCCTGTGGCTCGGATTCCTTTTGCCCTTTTGGCAGCTTGTTCTTGACATTTTTTATTCCTTCGAACCGCTCATCATCTCCGTACGTGAAGGGCTTCTTGTCGTTTTCCTCTGTGGATACTAACTTATCTTTGACTTCAGAAAGTTTAGGGATAATCTTGGTATCTTCTTCGATTGCCACCGACTTTGGGGTTGGCTTGGAGTCCACTTCATCTAGTAGTTTTTGTTGAATATCCGTTAACTTTGGAATAAAGCCAGCAGATTCATCTAGTGGAGACTTCTCAGGAAGCTCTTCTTCAGAGGCGAAGGACACCTGCGACAACGATTGCATTGATGTCCCCTCTAGGTCTTCTTCTTCGGACCCAAACCTCTGTTTCGCCTGCTCGTACTTCCACTGATGTTCTCGTTCCAGTTCATCCATGACAATCAAGTCTACAGGTTTTGGTAAATCGTATCGATAAGGCTCATCAACAACATCAGCAGTGAAAGCCCATTTCAACATATGATTCCTGGATCTCTCCAGAGACAAATTCTTGAGGTACTCCTTGATTGGGCCCTTGATTGCGTTCCTCTTTAAGCTAGAAATTTTCCCAGCATCTGTGACGTCACTGTCGCTATAGAAAGACGAAGCAGACTTAACAAAAGTAGAAGCAGATTTAACAAAAGTAGAAGCGGATTTAGTTAAATAAGATGATTCATCCGCGCTGTCGCTGCGTTTGCGCCGACGCCTCATCACTTCCTCAAACTCGTCATCTAAATCAGAAGACGAGCGCATAACTGTATGGGGATTGGGTTTTTTGAATTTCCGGGGGGTGGTGGAACGTCTTTCGAATGCAATTCTCTCCTGCTCGTCCTCGGGAAAGCGAGCCCTCACTGTTGATAACCAGCGACGATTGCGCACGGTTTTTAGCCACTCCGGTTCTTCAGGAGCCTTTCCTTCATCTATAACAGGTCGAAAGTGGGTTATCCATTGCCTGTCGCCCACAATGTCTATAGTTGGTTTATTCACTCCCATTGGTTTGTTTTTGTATTTTTGGGGTAAATTTTGCCACTTATCTTTCATTGTATTTACAGGTTTAATATGGCCACCATCGACTCCATCTCGTTTGTGCTTCTCACCCTCGGATGATATCTGAATGACCCTTGGTTTAATTGGTCCATCCAACATGTCTTCACGTGGAGGCCATTGCGGTTCGATATGATGTGGTGCTGGTGCTTCTTCAGTACGAGGAACAACTTTGCCTTCTTCTTTAGCCGAGGATAAATACTGTTTTTTAATCCTGTCGACGGGTACCGTTGACATAATATCAGGCTCGCACAGGTTTATCCCCGTTCCTTTGTAAAACTCATCTAAATCATCATCTTCGACCCTGGCTCCTTCAAGCGCAGCGGCATATTTCTGTTTTCTCTTTACCAGCTCTGACTGCGGATCTGCTTTCCTTATAGCGCTAGCGTAGTTCCCATAACGATCCTTCTTCTTATGGGACTTTCGTGGCTGGCCATAATCTGTAGAATCGTAATCTAGAGTACCATTTTCTGAGGCCAGAATTAAGGGATCTTCAGGATTTCTTTCACGAATCGCTCGTTGACTTATGTCTGTAATTACTGGCACAGGTTTTCTTTCGTCCGCAAATTGTGCCTCCATCCTGGTTGGCTTTCCTTGAAGTATTGTGTGTTAACTTTTGACTGGAGAATCTCAGACGTTCAAAAATGCACTTCTTGAGGTATTTCAAAAGGCTCCAGTTGGCCAAGTACTTTCAGTCCCAGTTGCCTACGCTTCAGTCGAAGCATTCCTCACACTCGTGTTATCTGGACTGCCCATTTGTTCGCAAGCTACCAAGGGGTCCCGGGTCGTCAAGGCTTCAACTCTCTGTTCGTCTCTTCCCCTTTCATATTCTGCATTTTAAACCTTTTTAACCCACCTTTTATAAGATATTTTATTTATTTTTCTATATACGGCAAAATATCCTTACAATTTTTTTTAAAAATTCGACAAAAGCTTGACAGATGTTTTCTCTTTTTTGCGTGGCTCAAAAGTTATTCATGCATAACGAGTTCTTAAGCAGGCTCAAGAGATTTTTCCGTAAAAACAAAGAAATGCAAAAATTGAGAATTACAACATATGAATAGAGCCACTTAGATATAATTTAAAATTCAGATAACAGTGAAGCATCGAGTTATTTTCTTTGGTCTTCCTCCAAAAACAGAAAAAAATTAGTAAACAGATTGTACAGTTGTTTTGAAATCGTTCAAGCCAATGATGATGTTACAACGTTACAAAGGAACACTACATATTATGCCTGGCGAGGAGTGTTGAAGACTACAACGTTCCAACAAAAATATATAGGACAATGGATAAACAGATCAAAAAGTGTGTTTCTAAGGAAACATGTAAATGGTAATCTGTTTTACGAGATAAGCTACAGATAATAATGATTTTGAGCAAAGGTATTCGTATATCTCTCTGAATATTGTTACAAACCTTTTCACACGGTGTTTAAGTTTCCTTCTTATTCAAATTATTTCTCCGAATGTGCTCTGTCTTTTTAAGGGGAAACAAACGGAAGTAAGTTTCGGCGCTTCAAGAGCCGTGATTTACCTCATTTTTCATGGTCAGTCTTTGGCTAAAACACGACGATATTGGCAACTACAGTTATCGCGAAACGCCAAAAATTTAACTGGAATCAGTTTATAAAAAAAACATTTCGTACGTTCAAAGTTAATAGATAAGGTGTATTATCAAGAATTCAAAAATTCAACTGGAATCAGTTTATAAAAAAACTTCGTACGTTCAAAGTTAATAGATACGGTGTATGATCAAGAATTTTATCAAAAACTGTTTTTCAATGAGTTTTCTTTAAACTTATCGTTATCTGAATGAAGATTATAGGAGATAAAGAGATAGCTTGGCGCCTTAAATTGTCGGCTTACTACTGTCTTCAGTTTTGTTGGCCAGTGTGCGCGGATACGTGTATGTCAATGATATGGCACCGAAAACCGCATTTTGCGATTCACATCTGTTAGAACTTATGCTATTCTAACTTAACTTTACGATATATAACTTGGTTTTAAGATAAACTAGAAAAATAAATGTTTTATCAAATGTTCTCATATGCGGTAAAAGATAAAAAACCTAGAGAGTAAAATAAGTTTTGATAAAATACCGTCACACCATGAAAATTAAAGGTAATCTTTGAATTCAGTGCGAAAACATGTTGTCTTTACGTACTTTTTAAAAAAAACGCTTTAAAAACTAATTTTCAGCATTTTCTGATTTAGTTTACTATTAATTTGAGTTTTATTGAGGAGTAAAGAAGCTTCAAACTATCGAAATATGAAACGAAAAATAATTGTATTTCGTGAAGTCCATTCGTATACACTTCATGGGGCACTGTGTGTGCAGCTAAATCTAAGATTGTTTTCAATTTTTGCCTTGTATTTCTGAGATATCATTACTAATTATGTCTAAAGTCAAGGGTCATTTGTGTCAATCTATCATAAGTGGCATTAAAATAATCCGGGTTTTGCCTGAACGCGTAACGAAGAATCATACATTCATTCTTGTTGAGGAAAGTCGTTTATCGTGACAAATCTGTTTTCACCCACATCTAGCCATCTGTGTTGATCATTCTTAGATAACAATATATCTTGTAAAATAATTGTACATGAATAATTCCTAAGATTTTAAATATTTAAAGATATATACAATATCCTATTACATAGTTGTACGTGTTTCTTTAGCTACATGATGAGTGAAAGATAGATTATATCCAAAACTCTCTGGCAAATTCACGATTTTTAGAAGATTCGAGATAACATTACTTAGTAAACTGATTAGAAGAAAAAGTTATAGAATATACTAGAAAAACCTTTCAATGAAGAATTGGAAAGCTGAAAATAACGGAGGTTCTGCAAAAGCTAAAACTTGTAAACATATAAAGCAAAAAATAAAAAATAAAAAATCACTCACAAGCCAAGATGACAGCCTGGCCATTTTAATTGAAAATGCTTTCAAGATTCTAGCAACAGAAATTCGAATTGGTTGGAAGGAGCCATGCTGACCACCTCTTTTATTAACAAAAGTTGTTTAATTGTTCTTCTACATGATTTGATTCATAAAAAATCCTTAGGGGTCAGGGCATGTAGAAATATAAAAACACAAACCTTTGTCAGTGCAAAAATTAATTACTAAGGATTGTAGTTTGTGATCTTTATGATCTGTTGGTGGAATAGAGATGTTGGTAAAGTGTGTTATGGTGCACGATGATGACTGTGGTCATTTTGGTGATGGTAATAATGTTGGTGATGGTGATGATGGTGGTGGTGGTGATGTTCGTGATGATGAGAAATCATGGTGATGTTAGTAATGGTTATGTTGATGATGGTAATGATGGTAATGTTGGTGATGATGATGTTGGCAATGATGATGATGATGGTGTTGGTAGTGGTGATGTTGGCATTGGTGTTGATGATGGTGGTGATGTTGCTGGCAATGATGTTGGTGACAATGATTTTGGTGACATTAATGATATAGGTGGACTGTTGCTTGTTGTGATAGTAGTGGTGACCAGTTGTAGTGGTGCAAATGTTGTTGACAATGATGGCGTTGTTAATGATGAAGTTCAATGCCTGAGTTGGTCCGATCTTTTCAATTAATCCCTTTTTCTTGGGACAAATATGAGTATCCCCTAGCTAGATTTCCATTTACTGATGAATTATGAACCACAAAAATAAAAATAAAACATTTTCTACTCATAAGGCCCTGTTGTCAAATTTCTAAGAAAACATTTCAAATAATTTTTGCAAAAAAACAAAATTAATTTGAATTCTGTATATCATACAGTGGACCAGTAATGTATAGAGGAGGACGGTATTTAAACCCCCAGAATTAAGGATTTCATTTTATATATTATTTTAGCAAAAAGCTGAAGTGTTTAATAAATTTGTTACTAAATTTAATTAGAATCGATTTTTTTAATGGCTAATATATATAATTATGGAATTCCCCTGGAATAACCAAAAGGTAAACTGACATTCACACGTTCCCCCCTACCACCACCCCCTAAAATCTGGGACTCTTGCTTGCTTTAGTGAATAAACAACTACGCAGTGCAGCTGAAGAGTGGCTACTAAATTCAATATTGATAATTAATATTTTGTTATAATTAAAAATAGGTTAATTGACTCCGGAAGACCATAAAAAACCTTTTCATTAAGTGCCATACCTGAAATAARTTTGATGTATGAAATGTCACTACAGGTCTTTGATGTTTCAACATTTGAGTGGTATTTAATTTGTATGCTAATTAATTAAAATTTTTGAATGACTGCTTCAAACATATATCTGTGGATATTCATACATTTGAGAACTAAGCCAAAGCATAGTACATCCATAAGAAAGCATAGATAAAGCCCACACGTACATATGAAGACCACAGTAGATAATATTAATAACTTATGAATAAATACATTTATACATGATTAATATGAAAATTAATATATAATTTAAAAATCACACAAAAAAGTGTCATGATTGGCACTTACGGAAATTTAAATATCATGTTCTTAATGAATTTTAAATGGAAATCTAGGACGTTTGGTTTCTCTGCCAATTACATACGTAATCTAAATTGTTTGTAATCAAATTTCAGTCTTATTTTTAAATTTTCTTAATGAGAAACTGATAGCTTAGAAATGGGTAAACATGACATGCTTTTATCTATTTACAAAATGTGTTGGTGGTTTTATCTTTCAGGAATCCAAAAGAATACATTTTGATGTTATCTGAAACCTGTTTTTCTAACCCTAGATGCGTGAAAGTCTAGCTGTCTGCCTAAAGTGATTGATTTCTCAAGGTTTAATGTTGTTAAACATAAATGTAAGGGTTGTCGTAAACTGAAAAAGTTGTATATAAACAGGTTGTTTATTGAAAAATATACAACTTACTTTATGTTATTTAATCTGTGAAGTTCAAACATGGACGGAAAATAGTTATAATAGAATTAAAATTATGATATTCCTCTCAGATACTTAAGATTTAAAAACAGTCCAAATCAGTGAAACCAACCTTCCAATTTATAGAAACCCTGAAACAACGTCTGGGCTGATCAAAGTCAGGGCACAAATAACTCACAATTTGAACTATGAATCAAATTCTGGACTGATGGATGTCAGGGAACGACTTACTCACAGATCAAACCCTAAAACAACCCTTGGGCTGATCAAAGTCAGGGCATGGCTAACTAACAGAACAAAATTGGAATTTAGATTGTTTACAGCTGCAATTACATGTTTAAACACCACTGACTCTGTAAGACTAGCCATAATGCCTCCATTCAAGTCATATATCATAGAAACTGATAGAAAAACAATGGATTACTTTGCATCAAAAGATTGATATTCAATTTACAGTAAATGACATTTCCTCTTTCAATTTGTAATTGAATAAAACAATAAACAGATTTTCACTTTCATTTTAAAAGTGAACTTAAATATTTCACACTGAAGAAAGCGATTTTTTTGCTTTTTTCTCCAATTTAAATTTTAAATTTATGAAGATATAGAAATATAGATAATATAGATACATATATTCTCATATATAAATTTACACGATTTTTGGAATAAATAAATTACAGCTGTCTAATAAACCAGTTACTTGGATGACGTCACGTCTTCAAATACCCCTAACCAGGCAAAGCGTTCCATAACAATTGCAATTTACTCCAAACAATGGTGCATCAAAAACACAAAAAGAAAATAATTCTTTAGCATAACTCTTCCCAGCCATGAAATCCTTCTGACACTTGTTAGAAGGAAGTTCTCGTTACGTTTGAGAAACTTTACAATTCTGTACTTCTTATGAATACTTCTGCATCATTTATTATATTTGATACAAAGGGTGCTTACTAGACCAAATTAGCGAATTTATTATCGGAAAAAAATCGTAGAAAAGCAAACACGTTCTCAAACAACAAAATAATTATATATTTTTTACAGGAAGTTGGTATTTTATGGCGTTTCAAACCAAATTCTTATATTACAGTTAATTAGCTTGATATATATAATGCGGAATACAGAATACCGTACAGATCGGATTATAAATTTATAGGCGATGAAAGGTAGAGCGAAATTCGGTAATTATGAAGTCTAGATTGAAAAATAGTTGCCGCTGTAGTTCTTAACGCTTTTCATTTTTACATGTGATCGTTGATCGCTTAGTAATAATCTTTACAAGAAGACTACAAACAAAACAAAAGCCAATAACGCGCAAGATTTAATTTAGTTAAGCTTTCTAGATTTCGTCAAAAGATTTCCAGTTGTCTCGACATTCTCGGAAAAAAACCCGAAAGCATGGTTCCAGCTTCCAGCTTGTTGAATTTTAATACATTTTAAAAGATAAAGAACAGAATAAGAGTACAAGATAGAAGATCTTGACGTGCGTAATCATCAACGTTGAATCAGTGAGGTCGAACACTAAAGTCACTTCCAACGTAAACGTTTGAAYGACAACATTAAACAGAATATCAATCCAAACACAAAAAAAATAAAATATTAATTCAAAAACTTAAAGCTAGAGTACTGTGGTTATATGTGCTATTAAGCAACCCTGTAGGAGCTGAATCAATGCTTCAGTTAAAAGACGACTACACAAAGAAATAAATCAACGAATAAATGCAAACAAGTTGACAAGTTAATTATTGTCCACCGCCATGTTCTATTAGGCCTTACCTCAATTGCAGATACCTTCAAGATGACCTCTTCTGTACTTCGTATTTTGGTTAGAAAACTAGGTATTAGCACGTCGGGTTGATTAACAAACGATCTGAAAGACGAATTGCATAGAAGGAATGTTTCTACGTGAAAGGAAGAACGATTCTGAGGACACTATTCCGTTGGTGGTTCAAACCAAGCTTCACACATACCGTGACGTTCATGACAAGTATAAGTCTCGAATCAGTGAGTTGATTCGTTGAGGCGGTTTTGTACGAGTCAATATTAATAGGTCACACTGCACAACGGATGTGATGATTACAGGTCAATCGAAAACTCTCTAAAACTCTCTTTACCTTGTACTCACTCACTCTTTACCGCCATCTTGTATATATAATCCCACTCTTGGCGGGAAGCCGCTGAATTTATTCACCAATCGCTGGCGATAAGTTGAAAATAATTTTTCAAATCTTAAAGTAAGGATTCGTGTATGAATGTGTATCCTTGACGTGAAGTTATAAAAAAATATACGAGAAAGGAAATCCCGACTACTGAGAATATGGCTTAAAATATTCTGAAGGTCATTGTGAGACCGGAAGTGTTGTGGACGTGAACGTGTGTTAATTAATTCTTACGTCATCTTCAAGCTTGAACATTTATTTACATTTCCCTTCTCTCATTGGAGGCAAAAAATAAAGAGGAAAAAAATATATCAATAAGCTTTCAATATTGGGAAGCAAATAGAATATAAGTGATTTCGTGAGTATCAACAAGAAAACCGCGTAAGACTCCCGTATTGGAACCAAAATTAGTGCTTGACCTCATAGTGCCCATCATCGTCAATACAAGAGAAACAGACACACAACATATAAACTAGATTTTTGAACTTCCAGGGTCTTCTAGGACCGACTGTTCTTCTAAATCAACGCATAACTCTTTAAGATATTAACAAATTAGTCAAAAATAGCATTAAAATAAATTATGTCTCGATGAAGAATCCTGGCAATGGTTTCCCGTTACATGTTTAGATGCTAATCCTAAACACAGCATCTAACTATATTTTCTTCATTCGGAAAATTCTTCCTATCACTCTAAACCTTGAAGATGGTACTTCAATCTACTTATGTTAGCTAATACACCACTTCGCATATATGCTGGAAGACAACTGGCAATCAGAAATAAATCTTGTATCATAAAACGGATATTGACTTTCATAGTCACACAATCTCGAGCAGCTAGCTAGACTTTTGTCACGTCACATTACAAAAGGATTGTTTTAAAATGTTGTCAACTTCCTTTGGTTTTTAATCAAATCTATGCAACAGCTTTTTCTGGTCGGAAGAACACGCTTAACGTCCCGCCATTTTGGCAGGGGTGTGGCGCATTTTCTTGTTGRTATCATTTCCCGGCGACGATCTCTTATCTCCCTAGATTTTCAAGCCATTTCATTTGTTTGCCAAAGGTAAACTTTCGTCCGGTGGTAGTCGCCTTAACTGAGACTGAACATTGTCGAAATGATCGACATCGCAGTGATAACCTTTCCAAATTGACATAGAGAGACTCGCATTCAGGAGTGGGGGGAGCGGGGGGGAGAGGGTGGGTGGAGAGGGCACTGGGACTCGAGCGAGTGGGCAACTCATGGTATTTGAATTAGATTATTTGATTTGCTTGCCCTTGCGGCGATTTTATCTTAAAACTCCCATGTCTGATGGGAAATTTAGCTACTTTTGTAAGCCGTTATCTTTTTAATCCTCTTCAGTAAATTTCAAGATAACCCGGAATATTTGGAAAATTTGGGAATGGAACTTTTTGGTTGCATGTAGATATGGGATATGTAATACACGGTGTGTAACCACCACAATGGCCATGACGTTAGTTTCTCTAGTAATGAAGGCACCAGTCTAATTATTGATGTATCTCTCAACATCCTCCAAAAGGATTCCTAGAACAGTATTAATGGCTTGTTCAGTAAGATCAAAGATTACTAGTGATATATGAGTACATGCACATAAGCCTGACTCGGTTTTCCCTCTCGCCCCATCCCTGGCCTTAGGGCACAACTGCTCCGGGAAACGTCCGATCCTCTGAGCAGATGTTTGAACTTGGTTTTGTCCATCATTATTTTTCTGGCTTGCATTGGATCTATCTGGAGGAGATCCTCAACTAACTATCAAATGCGAAGGTAAAGCGACTGACATCTTAATGGAGGGAAACCTCGAACGATAGATATACCACTAGCCTAGACAAGATATCATGTTCTCTTAGGCGCGCCTCAGTGACACATTAACATCTGTTTGATGATGCATATGAAACTATACTAACTTCTGTAGTGGTTTATACCAGCTTTACCTTTGGCATGTAATGTTTTCCCTTTTCAGACCACGTGTCATTCTCTATTAAAGCTGTTAAGTGTGACATTATTCCAAYGCAAAAACGACTTCCAGGTCCAAATTAGTGATTACTTCTAAAGATATTTTTCTGCGTTTTTTCTTCATAGCAGGATTTCTTTTCATATATCTAATTGTTGAAGGTATAGAGAATAAATCCTGGGAATAAGTTGCAGCAAGGTTTTAGCGGTCTTTTGTGCAATTGGACCCGGAAATACGTCAGAACTTAAAAGTCCTCTTAGAGCTATATATATATGACGTATTTCCGAGTCCAACTGAAAAAAACGCTAAATAAAATAAAGTAAAATGAAATTTCTTAAATGATTTAACCTCCACCCAAAACGATTATAACTTTGTGCAACAAATCCTGTCACATGTACGAAGACAAAAAAGATAATATTTCTTATAAAATCTGCTTTTCGCTTATAATATCCATACTATGACAATGACAATATTTTATTAGGTACATAGATTAATAAGTTGATTCACATAGACTAAATAAAACTTTAAATTAGTACCAGCTAACTGAAATAACCTCAACGGCTAAACTGGTCGGTTAAATAAAACAAATTACAATTTTTGGTCATTAACTTATATTGAGAAAAATGTAGTTAAGTATTAATTAAATAGAGAGAGATAACTAGCTAAAAACTAGCTAGTGTGAGCTGCGTCGGTGTTTCTAATGAAAGAGTAATGATAAAAGGGTAAATTATACACCGTGAAAAGATGAAAAGACTTACTGACGTTTCGTACGCTAGTCCTTCGTCGGAGTAAAGGAGGGAATTAATTAAATAATAATATATGACAATTGAATAGTAACAAATGAAAAGTGAATACACGTCACCCTTAATTAAAAGCTTTATAAGATTCCTTGTATGAGTTAAGGATATGGAAATGTGGTCTTAATTGGAAACACATAAGGCCCATAAGGTAGAGATCTATCAGAGCCCTCTACGTCACATTTATTCGATCAACGTCATTGTGAGGGTTAAACACGCGACCTCACGAAGAGCCGAGGACTAAGCTCTCAGAAATTCACTTTTTGTAAGAGTCTCCTATTTTCTCTGCCAAGAATCGCCAACGAGGGAGACTCTGCTAGCAGGAAAGTAAGGTCCTTACAAAATTAATAAATTTCTTTTTGCTACACAAAAAATCCGAGTCGCATAGCACTTTTCCAATAAACAGAGTAAAAAACGATGGGTTAATACATGGGTTACTAGGCGAATACCACCACCCCCTCTCCCTGACAAAGAAGAACGGTCATTCCTAAGTAAGTAAAGAAATTGCATGTTCTAGAGTCCTAATTTTTTCCCATGATCGAGTCATACGAAGGAGGAGCGCCCAGAAGAGTCGCTGAAGGATCAAGCTGCATTAACCACCAACTATGAACATCCGTGGGGAACTTTACGTCATCATCATCTTCTTTATACTTCGCAGACACGTCACCTGATACTATCACCTTCCAATTCTTCTGCGTCAGCGCTTGTAATATAAAACATAGCATGCTACGGACGTAGTACTTGTCATCGTTCTCGCCATCCCAAGGGGTACCATTGAGAGTAAACTGCAAGCAAGATACTCCAGGCTCGGTTAGTTTTTCCTTTTCCTTCTGGATTCCCTTTGGCCACCTCTTGGTGATGATGTCACGACAAACCTGGATGACGTCAGCAGGGGCATTAATGAGCCTTAACTTGTCTGTACTGCTTGGACTTAGACACATTATGGGAGTAGACAATGGGGCTGATTGTTGGAAGATGAAAACACTCTTGTTGGTCGTCCTTCTTGATACGTCAAAGGCACCAACAGCATGCCAGCCGTGGCACTGCATCGCTTCTAGAAGCTTTGCTATCATGTGCCTCGCCATTATGGATTCTTTATCACTGCTCCACCAAGGTGAACCATGAAGCTCAAATTCAAAGCTTCCACAGTAGTCTCCTTCTTTTCTGATTCCTTTCCTCCAACCCCATGCATCTTCAATTACTTTCCTCACGACTGGAACCAGCTCTGGCTTAGCGTTGATTAACCTGAGTCTGTTGTCCCTGTTGAGGCTAATCGTGACGAAAGGCGACACTATTCCTGATTCAAACCGTGGTTCGTGCTTGAAAAACAACGAATCAGCTGTGTTCTTGATATTAGCTGAGCAACACAGCGCCAACTGGTTCTTGGCAGCAAATTCGACGAGCTTCTGGATGAGTGAACGAGCTTCCACTGTCTCTGTTCCCATCCCCTTCCAAGGGTCACCAAACAACTGTACATCAAGCATGTGCTCATCTTCCGTGTAGACAAACTGAATACCCGGCGACCAGTTCTCTTCAATCACGCCTTTGATGGAAGGGTATAAGTTCTGGAAAAAGTTTATAAACTGTAATTTATCAGAACTGCTAATATTGATACATGGGAATGGATATGAGATCGAGATTGTCCCTTGTTTGACGAAAAAGAACGTTCCAAAGGCCATCTTTCTTGAGAGATCAGTAGTTATCAGCAGTTTCCATCCAGCATTGTTAAGCTTCCATAGTATCTGACTGAACATCTTTCGAGCTTCTAAAGCAAATTGTTGGGGGGTCCCCTTTTCGAATGGCGTACCACTGAGCTTGAAGGATTTAACATAGCCGTGGCATTTTGTCTTTTGGTTTGCATCGAAACCCAGTTTCCATGACTCTTCAATGGCTTCCTTAATGATTACCAACTCTCGATCACCTCCATGTAAAACTCTGACGCCATCGGGTTTGTTGATAACGATACACATATACTCAAAGCCAGGAGGAACGTCTGCAAGTTGGGATGATTCAACACCTCCCATCGCAGAATCAGCGTAATTTTACTTGACCTTAAAATAAAAATAGCAAGAAATTATTTTTTATTACTGATCCGATGATATCACTTAGTACACAAGGACCCCAGGAGCCCATTGCAACACTTCAAATCACAAGATAAAGAAATTAAAATCTTCCTTCGTCCTTGGAACAACATACTAATCTGCCTTAGTAATAGCCTGCGTAGCGGCCCAAGAGGAATGGGGGAAGGTCCCCCTCCCCACGCCCCCCCTCCCCTACACTAACCCCAATCCCCGAAACCACAGCCCTTTTGGGTCGCTACGCAGGCACCCTTTGTACAAGCTGCATAATATACGTAACATATTTCTAAGGAGGTTGATGACTATTCTCGTACTATACCCAGACCCTTCTCACCAAAAAATCGAAGGTTCTAGTAACACACAAACCGGAAGATCGAGATTCTAGGTCAGGTCGTCAGATGGGCGCATGCTCCACTTCTGACTTCCGGTATATATTCAAACCGTTTTTTTTTTTKKTTKKTKTTTTKTKKTTTTTKTTTCCCCTTCAAAAGAAAAACAATCAAGCTTATTTATACATCGTTTATGAAACAGTTTATTTGTCTGTGATTAACATTCTGAAAAAAATAGCAATTTAGCGAGACCCTCATATGTGTGGTAAAGCATTCAAATTTCAACCGTTGACTCAGGCCCCGTCCACACTATGCCGGATAAATTTGAATCCGAATTTTATTTATTCGGTTAGGCCTACCGTCCACACTAGTCTGGGCGAATCCGGAACAATTCTTCACCGAAAACGGATTTTCGAAATGGAACCGAATAAATAAAAATTCGGATTCAAATTTATCCGGCATAGTGTGGACGGGGCCTCAGTGTAAAATCAGCGAATCGGAAACATATGATTATGCAAAACAATTAAACCAATTAAATAAACGGGCGATTTGTGGGTTACCAGAGACAGTTCGATTTTTCGTTAGAAAGCTGAGAAGGCTTTGGGTACGAGAATGGTTGATGCATTGAGTAATAATAACAGATGTTTCGGGCCGGTACACGTGGACCGTTGTGATGCTTTATTAAATTACACTCTTCACGTAGCCCTGACAATGGTTCAAAATAATAAAAAAATACGAACTTTTAATCATGTTTATAAAATAAATGTTAATTGATATTGAATTGACAATAGAATAAATTATATAGTTCAGAGGCTCAGTAATTTGGATTCAAATGTACAGTTCAGTATAAATGTTCTAGTGCAATCTTGAATTAATCAATGATCAATTAGTTACACACTTCTACGGCGTAGATTATTACTATACTGGTATAAAAATTATCTTCAAAGGCCATTGCAATTAAGAATCTTGAATTACTAAACACGATCATTTTAAACAAAGGTTTCTCAAGTGGCTACAACACTTAATAAGTACTAAAGTTTATGCATCACATCATCAGTTCGCTACCTGTGTATAAATAATTGTTTCGGGAAGATTTACGACCTAAGGTCAATATTTGTTACTACGAAATTCTTAAAAACTATATCGAAAAATATAAACAGAATCCCCATACTTTACTTTTGTTATATTCACCGAAACAATGCTATTAAATGTAGAAGAGAAATGTAGAAGAGAAATGCACGGGTTAAATTCGATCTTTTCCTTTTCATTGTTTAAGTTTTGTACAAACCGGTTCGAAAATTTAGCTTTTCCTTTTCAATTTATGATCTAAGACCACAAGAAAGCCCTATCGAGTCGATCTTAAGGAATAAACGAGGTAGGTCTTTTGTTCGTAATTACTTTTCCTCGGTTTATCTCAAGCCATTTACTCACTCACCTCTACTTTAACGCTGCTTTGGCTTGTTTGTCTTCGCTACACGCACAAGGTATTATAGGATTTTTTTTTTTCGTGGGAGAGGAGGGGGAGACACCTTGTCGATATGATTATTTATAGTCTGCCCAATCTCGTACCCAGAGCCCACGTTGCTCATGATCAGCACCGAGAAACGAGAGGCTCTGGTTGTAATCGATTTTTTGAGCAATCCTATTGGTCCGGGGRAAAACAATAGAAAGAGTCGTTCCGGAAATAAAATGGCTAACAGACTCGGAAAATATCAGGAAATAAGTGGATTCAAGCACTAATTTGGCTTGAATCGAACTCAAAATTTGCTAGAATGTGGTACGATAATCAATCTTTCGCATACCCGAAGTAGATGAGAAGGAGGCTGGAATTTAAGCAAATTTTCACGAGGATTAGTGCGAGTCGAGTTGGCGGCCGATCGCTCTTGCATTTGTCGTGATGATTTGAACTCAAAAAAACGTGTTAAAAACTCACAAAATAGCACAAGCAATTAGTACCCGGGGGAAAAATTTACTAAATAAACTTTAGGAAGGCAAAGGATAAATAATTTAACTACTATATTCAAGCTAAAAAGGTCAAAAATTGATTACCGTTTSTTCTGAATCCCTGAAGATCAAAGGTAACCCAAACATCCTATRATTAAGGCATGCGCATTTGAAACTTCCGGTCCGAAATTCACGGACCGGAAGCCAACTGAAAATCGGTTACAACCAGAACCTCTCGTTTCGTTTCTCGGATGAGGAACGTGGGCTCTGGGTACGAGATTGTAGTCTGCCTAGAGGTAATAATGTACGATTTCAGAGTCAACAATTTCACAGATAATAATTTCAGARATTATAATTTCAGAGATAATAATTTCAGAATGCAAATGCAACTTTTTTTATGTTGTGGTTTGTGGCGCTGGTTAGGTCCTGTGAAGCCGGTCAGCAGCAAAGGTTCCGTTTTAAAGGACTGTATACAAGCTTTCCACATAGAAATACCATACAAGGAATGTACTTACCATATTTGGAAATTGGAACATAATTTTCYTTACTAAATAGGCGAATTTCTTGCTCAAAACCGCTCAAATTTACAGTAAATCGAGTGAAAACATCTCAACTAGTCAGCCATCTTGATTTTGGCCGACAAAGGACTGAAAATGCGTAGGGGAGGGGAGCGTGGTTAGTCACCACAGGAAGCCCGCGAACGACAACAATTGTTTGATATATAGGTGACACTCCGTGGATCGGTATAGATTTTTACTAATTTTCCTTCATTAAGATGCTACTGAGATAAATTGGATGTTACTTGGATGTGACTAGAATGGATTGGTTGTGACTGAAATGGATAGCAAGTGACTGGGCCTCAGCCAGTGACTGGAGTTTGAATCACACACAAAAAATATTTTTGAATATTCACCTTTTGAAAGGCCATGGATAATCTTAATGCATAGCAAAAACATGCCAAACTTCTAAAAATTGTTTTCCTCTACTAAATACCCGAATTGTGAGTGCTTTTTAATTTTGGAAAATCAGGATCCGTACATAGATGGAATGGACTGGACTTCGGTTGGCTGGATCGTACGGATCGTAGACATTCTTTTACGCCGAATTCGCAGCTTTTATCCTATGATTTTTATTTTATTATTCATAACTATTCCGAATTTTTGTACATAAAAAATGCTTAGATTTGTTGATCTTACTTCAGATTTGTTGCACAAATGTAAAACAATCCGTACATGGAACCCAGACTCTAATCAATGAAATATATAGTTCTCATATATTCTCATATATGTTCTCATACACAGTATTTACTCGGTTATCCTCTTGAACTTGGTTTCAATTCAAATAAAAAACGAGCAACCATAGAAATTACCTGCTGCTGGAAACTTTAGGTGTTCCATATTTGCTTACCAGTTGCCTACTTTGCTTTCTCTTCGAGTTTCCTACTTTTCTTTTTTACCTTCGTCTTCGTCTTYGTCTTCATCTTCGTCTACTCTTCAAATATATTATCGTAAATATTTGCTAATTTAAGAAAATCATAAAGAGATTATTTACATAAGTATGAATGGAGTTGATGGATTTCCTGTATGAGTATACAAACAAGTCTATTAAATCCATGCTTTGAGTTTATCAAGCTGTCTTTTGTAACCGAGAATCACCTGTTTTTTTCTCACCCAAAACACAATAAAAGAGTTTCGTTCCAAACTCGGAAAGTGACTGTCGATCGTGAGAGCTTCTTCAACGATCAACATTTTGGTAAGATTTAATTCATCTTTTTTCTTTTCTTTTTTCTTCTTCTTCTTCTTCTTCTTCTTCTTCTTCTTTTTAAACATTTTAGTAAATTATTGCTCTTAGAAAAGTTAAACAGAGAATAATGAAGTCAACAAAATTTCTATATATCTCTTGCAATAAGTGTTTTGTGCAAAATGTTTAGGCATCGGCTTGATACGATTTTTTGAAAAAAATTAGAAAAATGTTCACAAATTCCCGCGCACGACACACACAGAAAAAAAGTAATTATCATGTTTTGTATATTGTACGTATACGAGTTTTCCCTTAATGCATTTATGGTCGATATCCGTGCAATAAATTAAAGCCGCCATAGAAACCATGTATCAGTGAAGCAAATACGATATCACTTCACAATAAACTGGAAACTGGAAATTTCGTTATTATATCAACCCAAAGTGTGTAATAAACAAATTATTGCATGTTAAGAACTTGACATCTTTTTTATTCGCTCGATATTTCCATATTTCGTATCGCTCACTCACTTACGGACCGCTAAGCGTCAGTTCGCGATATGTATCCAGCTCTTGCATTTAATAATCTCTACATAAATAAAATGGGCTTTATCAATAGGCATAATAATATCTGTCATATATTAAAACAAAATTTATAATTTGGGACCGTGGATGGCACAACGCCACATCATATGTGATAAGTACAGACTGATTCACGTCTGATGAAAGAGCTACGCTCTGAAACTCGTTTAAGATTTGTGACCTTTTGTGTTTTTCCACTAGCTTATAAAGAGAAAAATAAGGGAATATTTCTACAAGTAATTATGGCTCTAACAGTTGTTTAGAAAGCTTACTAATTTAATTATTTCAACAATTCTTCATCGACTTTGTTGGTAAAACAAAGCATAGCGTATTTCACTTAGTGAGGTGCGAATATCGTAGTACGTGCCGAAGGCAGGTGGTTAAACCCGTAGCCGGTTACTTGTAAAGTGACGCCAAATTTAGCGGTAAGCCCCGAATGTAGGGTGGCCCCGTTGTTAGGGAGAAGCCATGCGCATGGGGCTTACTTTCCCCGGGAGACGATTTCGGATTAAACGCGTAGATTTGATAAAACATGACGTTTCGGCTATAACTTGTGATAGCGTTCATCGCATTTTTTATAGGCCGAAACATSATGTTTCAGTCAAATCCGAAATCCTTAACTTACTTCAATATCATATAATACGCGAAAGTCTTAAAGATACTAAGAGGGTTATAGTCTTATAGGGGAGCAATAGCGTTTAATCACCTTTGGGAAGTCATGTTGTGGAATAAGGTTGCTACTATATATTTACAGAAGCAGTGTCCCATAAGCCAACATTGTAGCCTGCATGTCTTTAACACTGCATGAAATATCACTATAGGGTTAATACGATGTAAATATTAAGCAAATACCATATTTTCTAATTTTTGCTCATGATTTACGACGGTGCAAATATGATGTTCACTTTATATTTGCTATGGGTTGTGAAGGTGGTGAATACCACATTTGCTACACGTTTACCTTAGGGAGGAAATATGACGCGAATAATATTAGCACTACATTAACATCCATAGGAATATGTAGCAGCAAATTCATATTCACTTTAGATTTGACTAACCGGCTCAATTAATTAGCAGCAAATGTCATATTCTCATCAGATTTGATATAAATTCATCAATGCTGCAAATGACATATTCACTTCAAATTTGAAAAACTCATAATGCAGCAAATTTCACATTCAATTCAGATTTGATTAGCCTCATAATGCAGCAGATGTCATATTCACTTCCGGTTCTATAACCCTCTTAATGCAGCAAATTTCATATTCACTTCAAATTCTAAGCCTCATTATGCAGCAAATTTCATATTCACTTTAGATTTGAAAAACTTATAATGCAGTAAATTTCACATTCAATTCAGATTTGATAAGCCTCATAATGCAGCAGATGTCATATTCACTTCCGGTTCTATAACCCTCTTAATGCAGCAAATTTCATTTTCACTTCAAATTCTAAGCCTCATTATGCAGCAAATTTCATATTCACATCAAATTTGAAAAACTCATAATGCAGCAAATTTCTATTTCACTCAGATTCTATAAGCCTAAATGATGCAGAGAAATATCATATTCGACCCTAGATTTTACCTAAACTCCCATGATACCAAATTTTCACTCTTGCTTACAATTATTTTGCATAACGCAAATATACAATTCATAGACTGCAATACAGGTTGATAGTTTTAATTTAAAAATATTTTCTTTCACAATCAGTAAAATAACATATTTAAATATATAAACATGCAATGAACAATAATGACAATAAACTCTTAGAAGTTACTTATTTTTAAAAACTATAGATTTATAGTGTGAAAATTAACAGGCCAATTATCATAACTTTTATAGGTTGTTTTGATCTCTTGTTTTCTGGTTTGATGTCGTGAAAATAGTCAAATACAATAGTTTGAGGACTTATTTTGAYATGTTTTGACTTAGCATCCGCTAGTTGCCCCCCAGTCAACCGCTTGTTTGCCCCCCAGTCAACTCCAAAAAGTCACGTGATTGATAGTAAGCAATAAAATACCTTCATTGGAACCAGCTGATATTTTGAATTGTAACATATAATTACTATTTCGTTCTAAACTTAAATCAGTCATGTCTTGCCCTGTAATGTATGACATGTCATTAAGCGATAAATGAAACATTGGATTTGCTTGTTCCATGCAGGCTGTCAATATGGAAAGCTTTCACCTTATTGGTTTAATCTTAGCAGCCTTCGTGATGACTTTGGATATGACGTCTGCAGCTAGTAAAAGATGTGACGAGGGACCGGGACTAGCTAAGTGTGTGACTCAATACGTTTCTGGGTTTGCCAGCCCTCAGAACGCAAAATTGGATTCATTGAAACTCCATTGCAAGCTTGATCGAGTAAGTATGTTAAACGTGGAGTTAGGTCGACGGCAGAAGAATCACTTAGCTGTAACTAATAAACTGCAATCAGGTGAATAAATGAAATAAAGAAGTTCAAATACGAGGTGCCTGCAGATCTGAACGGCTAATTTTGGGTTTTGTTAAGATGATTTATCTATAAAATGATAATCTTTATATGGACGCCGGCTTGAAGTACATTTACGCATGCGTACCATTTGTTTTTCTAGTTTTGAATCATTTAAATGGAGGCTAAAAATGATTTTCATCAAAAATTCTCATAGGAAAATAAACTAAAAACTCAGTTTGGATTTTCACTTTGAGTTTGAGTGAACAAACGTCAAGGCTAGTTTATCAGAACACATCCCACATGGAAACGAGTGACCACGGGGTTTTAGTCATCAGCAAGAGAAATCACTAAACAGGTTTGCTGGTCATAGCAAGGGGTTAATCGTCTATGGTCTAGGGRCCGACTAATCTCTCCCTTAGGCTTCGGCCGAGCTTCCTGATCAGTCTGTAATTCCTCCCGGGATAGCGGTGTCGGGGTCGAAATCTATGGCGTAGCCGTAAATGCTTCGCGCTACCATACGACGCTTCAGCATTCGGGTCTGGGAGTATGGTCTCCGGTTTTTTTTTTTTTTTTTTTTT